ATCCTCCTCGCTCCTCCCTCATGTTTGAACCAATTCCCGTGCCTGTCAGTCCTACATCCCACCCATCTTGCTGTCTGTGGAGGCAGAAGGCCACTGGCTGCTAGCACAAGCCATGGAACCTGATCCTTGGTACCACATCCCAGCCCGACAGCCGCCAGCTGTGTGTGCTTGGGCAGGCTCTGTTAGCCTCCCTGTGCCTCTGTTTACACATCTGGAAAATAGGGTAATTCGAGAGGCTGTGAGTCTGGATGAGGTGAGGCAGAGCCTGGCAAGCATGGGTGTTGCACGTGTTCGCTGGCACTATCACGTGCCCTCTGTTTCTATCTCCGCAGCCCCTGCCCTCACTCAGGCTCCTCTCCTTTGCCTGGACTATCTCAGAGCCTCCCAACAGATCACCTCCCATGTCACGTCCATCCCCTTCACCTGGACAGCTTCCTTGCCGCTTCCAGAGAGCCTGTCTTCCCACAGGCTCGAAACCAGCCGCTGGCTCCCTCTGCCTGCAGGACAAAACCCAAACCCTGTATTCCGGCGCCTGCACCTCTCTCCAGCTCCCAGTGTGCACACTGCCCTGCCTCAAAGAACCTCCCGGGGTGCTGGGCTCCTGGGGCTGTGGTGACTCACGTTTGCCGCAGTGTCATCTGTGGCTTTGAGTCAACGTCTTGGCTCTTGGCTATTGGAGGTAGATGCTGCGTGATGAGTAAAACACACATTCATTTAAGTGTCACTGAGTGAACAAACTAAATGAAATCTATGTACTTTGGAAGCAAAAATCTGCAACGTTTTTGATGTCAGAGAGATTTTCCTACCTGAGCAATTTGGAAACCTCACAGGGCTGCCTGCTCACTATCCTCCACGTGGCTTGCCCTTCTGTGGCCTGCATCTCTCCATGCTGTTCCCTCTGCGCAGAGCACCCTTCCTTTTGTCTTCAGGAGGACATCTAGGCCTCTTCGAGGCCAGGCTGGATGTCACCTCCTTTCTGAAAGCTGTTCTCATTCCCACAGGACTCCATACAAGCCTGTGCATGGCACCACATTTGAGTGACAGGGCTTTGCAATGATTAAACACATTCTGAAGCCGGTTTGTCTCAGTTCAAAACTAGGCTCCACTACTCACCAGCTGTGTGAGTTCCTTAACCTCTGCCTGTCTGTTTCCTCATCTTTGCAATGGAGATGACAGCAGGCCTTACCCCACAGGGGTTCTCAAAGGACTAAATGTGTTAATATCAATATATGTAATATGCTTATATCTATTCCTGGCATATTAGTGCTATTTAAGCATTTGCCATATTATATTATTTGAATAAGGTGTTTTTTGTGTCCTATCCCTCTTTCCAGAAGACTGAGAGCACCTTAAATGGCCAAGTCTCCTTGACAGCGGGCTCTCTGCCTCTCTGGGCCCTAGGATGGAGCTGTGTGCAGCAGGGATTGGGAGAGTTTGGTTGGAAGTGCAGAGAGGGGTCCAGGCTCAGTGTTCAGGAGAGCTGTGCCTGAGGTTAGTTTGTGGTGCCTTATCTTCATTTCATGCTCAGTGTGTGGAGATCACATGAGGTACCAGGAGGAACTGCCCAGGATCTGGGCTTCTGCCAGTGTGGGCGCTGAAAGCTGCTTCAAGTCTGGTCAAGAAATCTTGCCCAAGCACCCTGGGGTTCTGCTGGGGACCCTCATCACCTTTAGGACAAGGTCACCAAAGTATATGATGTGGCCTTCAAGGCCCCCAGGGCTTGTGAAGTTCATCTCTCATTACCCCTTCCCCTGTGGGCACCCTCAGCACCTGCCCCCACACAAGGCCAACTAGCCAGCTTTGCAGAGGGTGCCCATGATTCCATTCAGAGGGAGGGAGACCCGAGTCCAGAGCCTCCAATATCCACATCCTGTGGAGGAATTTGTTCACCTGCACTCAGAAACCAATGAGGACACTTCTGGAGGGGTGAGGTGATGTTTTCCACCTTTCCAAGCACTTCTCCAAGATCTCTCCAGGGAAGAGGGGGCACAGGTGGCTGGGGACAATGACTCTGGGCTCTACAGGAGATATGGGAGCAGGTGAGGAGCCTGGGCAGGATGGCAGGATCTGGGGATTCCATGGGACAGGGCCTCCCCTGGTTCAGGGTGGAATCCAGGGCCATGGTATTGGGAGGGGCTGCCTCAGGCCTCCCCCACTCCTGATGCACAAACCTCCTCATGAGGGGCCAGGCCTACGCCTCAGCTGCTCTTCTGGTCTGAGGGGCTGGGACTCATCTGTCCTGTAGACAGGGCAAGTCTGGGTGAGCTAAGATGTGGGGCAAATTTCCAGCAAGGAGACGCAATATCCTCCTTAAATGGAGGATCTGGCAAAGCAGAAGGAACTCCTCTGAACAGCCATGTGGATGATCTGGGATAGGGAGACAGGGCCCAGAGGCCCTTGGAATTTCAGTGCTAATCCCTACTCAGCAGAGGGAGGTCAGGGCAAAGATGACATACGTGCTGCTGACTGTTCCCTTCACCATTTCCTCTGGAATTTGGAGTGGGAGGTCCTTTCTATGAGGGACATTCTTGTACATGCTTGGACACTTAGCATCCCTGGACCCCGTCCACTCTAATGTCAGTAATGGCTCCTTCCCACCCCAACAGTAGCTGGGACAACCACAAACACTTCACACACATCTGTTTTCCTTTGTCCCCCAAGACAGGAGGACAAGAGTGGGGCTGCCAATGACCACACACCCCCATCCCCCCTAAGGGAACTCCTAGAAGGCAAGGGGTGGCATCACAAGCAGTGACACAGAAGGCCAGGTGGCCGGTTGTTCCAGGAGAGATGCCAGCTCCTACAGCTGGCTCACCTGGAGCCTCGCTTTTATCTGCACCACTCCCCCACAGTGGGGTAGCAGAGCCTGTGGTAGGTCCTGGCAGGTTACAGGGTTGGCTGTGCCAGCACCCCAGCTCAGGGCCACAGCAGGCAATGATCCTGCCCCATGGTCTCAGAGCCTGGCTGCCACTTTTCCCATGGTCTCTGGGAGGGCGTCCCTATCTTGGAGTTCTCTTTTGTAGTTAGTGTGACAGCCTGGACACCTTCCGGTCCTTTACCTAGGCTTCTTTATCTTCCTCAGGTTGGACAGAAATGTGTGGATGCTTCTGTGCAGGAACTCACCATCAGTCACCAAATGATTGGGGTCTTCGTCTTGCTGCTCTGCGGGACCGTGGGGGCCCAGGAGAACAGAGCAGCTGTAGCTGTGGCTCACCAGCCCCAGGGGAGACAGAGCATCAGAGGATGGCCTGCCCACTCCCTTATTCTGCTCCCCTAGAGCTTCTTCCCGCAAATGCCATCCTCCACTTGGCCGGCCTCCCATGGCCCCACCATCCTCCACTTCTAGCTTTACCCTATGAACCCACAACCCTGCACCACTGCCAATTCCCCACACTCCCAGCACCATCCTCACGCCTGCTTCTCCCAGCCTTCCAGCACTGTCCTGCTGCTCTGAGGAATCCACGCATCCTATGTCCTGGGTCCCTTGGACTGAGCTGTCTTTCTCCCTTTTACTTCCCCCTTTCTGTGAGTTTGTGGGAATCTGACTCCCCTCCCACCTACTCCCTCTTCTTATAGTAGAGGTGGAGAGGGAATCTTGCAGTGGGGAGGGAACAGTGTCACAGAGGGGGTGGAGGGCCCAGTCTGAGACCATCACTGCAGGGTTGGGAGACAGCCAGGAATCATCCTGAAGCCCTGACATGGGCCCATTTTCCAGACAGCAGGGAGCAGTGAGGGCAGAATGGTTCTGGAGCAGAGAGAGAGAGAGAGTCCTGAAAACACCATATGTAAAATAATCCCGTGAAAAAGGCATTAGAACTCTATATCCAAAGCAATCCTGGAGTCAATCCTACGTCAAGCCTAGGACTTTTGACAAAGCAAAGCACTCTTCCCTTTCCCTTGTAAACCTGCTTAGAGTGCCATTCATTTGGGGATCACAGAAATCTTTGAGTGATAAAAGGAGTTTCTATATGCTGGTGTTTAATGCACTTATTTTCTGCAGCATGCAGGGTGAAGGTAGTCAAAAAATGTCACACTGCTGGGTTGGGAGATACTAGTTGAAAGGAAATCCGACCCAAAGAGAACTCTCTGCTCATGACGTTCCCTCCCCTTTCAATGTCTGGGCCTAAGGCTCCATGGCTGTCTTTAACGGGAAGAGGTGACTTGCTCTCCTCCCAAGTCCTAATCTTACAGCAGGTGGCACAGAAGGCTTTCCCGTTGTCTCTTGAAGAAGCTGTGACATGGGCACCATTTCTCTAAAGGGAAAACAAAGTATAGAAGAGCTTTCCTAATGTTGGTTACATACCCAGCTCTGAAGGCAGGCCACAGAGGTTCACACCCCCACTCCACCGCCTCCTGGGCTGAGTCCTGTGACTTTGCATGCCATGTAAGAGGGAGATGGTGGCAGAACCTCACTTGCAGAGTAGTTTCCATGATCAAATGAGTTGACACATACGAGGCATTTAGCCTGTTCCTGGCATGTCCTTTCCCTGGCTGCCACGTTAGGGGGACTCAACTGACCTGGAGACACTTACACCGGCAGCCTCTGACAACAAACTCACTGTCAGATTCTGAGCTAGATACAGAATCTGCCCACAGTCTAGTAGGGCTCCGGTCACAAACAAAATGGTGCATGCTGTGCAGCGAGGCAGACGAACTGCACCCACAAGGATACGCTATCTGAGCTGGGTTTGTCAGAAGGGTTGGGCCACGGGGCGTGAGGGAGAAAAAGAGAGCTGGATGGAGAAAGGTGTGGGTGTGGTGTTGGGGGGAAGTGGTGCGCAGCCTGCTACATCAGTGGGTCCCTGTGTCCAGAGAATGACCCTGGATACTGGTCTGCAGGAGATGAGATTCAACGGTTTTGTTTGTTTGTTTTAATTTTAAAACATCTTTTTTTGGTTGATATAAAAGTTACAGTGAAACACTTTGGGAAATTAAAAATGAAAGCAAAAGTGAAAAGCAAATAGTGAAGGGTCCCATAATTGACCAGAATTTTAGAGGACTTATTTCCAGAATTTTGTGTTTATTCCATCAATGACTAGGGAGGGGTGCAGGCTTCGTTTTTCACCATGAAGGATCCCATCCCGCTTGTCAGGGAGTAAAATGCACTTGAAGTCAAGACATTTTTCAAGCTCCCCTTTGAGTCAGTGCTAGCTTCCCCTCCTATGCATGCCCTGAACAGCCTTCTCTCTTCATTTGCCTTCCTCCTGGGTTTTCTTCCACCTTCTTCAGTTCTCACGTCAAATCTTGGCCTCCCTGTATCTCCACGTTCATCAGAGTGAAACATCTGTAAGACTGACACAGATTTCTCTTGCTAATTCATATTTTTTTCTCCCAAGGACTCCTCCTATTAAGGGTGGGATGAAGCAAGACATTGGGGGTGAAGAGGACCTAGTACCCCTTTTGTTCCACTGGAGGGACAAAAATACATGGGGTGGGGCAGAAAACTCTGGGTCTCTCTCCTACCTTTTCTCTCCCTTTCCCTGCCTCTCCCTCTCAGGATACTGGGATGCCACTGGGGACCTTGACAGTTGTCGGAATAGAATAGCTGCAATTGGACCTTGATTGGGTGCAGTTTAGGACCACGTCACCTAAACGAATACTGGTAAGATTCCAGTGTATCCTGGTGGCTCCCTTGCCCCTCATCACTTGCACCCCTGCTCACTCTGCAAGTTCAAGGTGCTGGTGGAGGCCCTGAGTTCTCTTCTGGTCACCACCCAGGCAAATGCCCTCTCTTGCATCAGGTAGATTCTTGCTGCAGCCGCCTTCCCACTACTCTCCGGCTGGCAGAATTCTGCAGTGTTTCTGCCCTGGGGCTCTTCCATTTCCTGAGTTTCCAGCACTAATACATGCTTTCCCCATTTATATATACCAGCAGGAAAGTGGGAGTTGGTGAGATGTACAGTCTCAAATCTCTGTCTTACAAAGAAATTTTACAATTTTCTGTGAAAAGAAAAATCAATATATTGTTAATGGTACCTTTAGAGATGAAGTAAATGAACAAAGACTACCTTTACCATACTACAGAGGTCATACTTTACAGACCTCATCACACGCCTAAAGCTCTGAAGACCTCTGGGAGAGTTTGGCAGCCACTCTGCTGTCTTGCCAGCCCTGCCAAGGGAGGCTGTGGATTGATCCTCTTGGCTGGCTGGTGTGTCAATGGCTACCCCTCAAGACTCTTTCTTGATGGGCCCCTTAGGAAGTTAGCCAATCCTCCTATCTGTGCCTGTGGCCGACACAGCCCCTCTTTGTGTACTGTACTCATCTTGCAGACAGAGCCCTTTCCAAAGACTGAGAAACTCTGGCTTAGCTCAGATAGTCATCTGTTTTCTCCTGGGCACGTGACAAGGCTTAAAGTTTGGGAAATCACTGAGTTGTAATTAAATCTGGATGTTGTCAGTTCTCTTGGAGGTGTATGTTTATTCTAAGAGATCTTCAAATTTCAAGCAGCAGTGTGTGTGTGCTGACACCACGTTTGTAACCAACTTTATAGCTCACCTAGCATACACATAGCCATGATGTCGTTTGTTCCTTATAGTTTAGGGTAAGCAGCCAAAGACAGGGATTACCAAGCTCACTTCATAGATGAAGAAACTGAGGTGAAGAGAGATAAAGTAACTCACCCAAGACCACTCAGTAAATCCCTGACAAAACCAGGACTCAAATCCAGATCCCTAGCTCCTACACCAGTGAATTCTATACCAACCTCAGAAATTAGTTCAGTTACTAGGAATTAGAATTTCAGGAATGAGATATTATCTAAAGTATACCTTTGACATTGATGAACAATCACACAGGATAAACGCTAAAAAATATATCTCAGTTCTTCAGATCTTATTGACCTAAAACAAACAATGAAACAAAACCACCAAAAGCTTCAACACCCTTATATGCATTTTAGAAGCCACGTAGTGACCAGTGTGGTACCTGAAAGAGTCCACTCTGATTACACCTCAGAATACAGTCTCACCCTACCCTGTTCTTCTCAGGGAGATGCCATTCCCATCACAGTTTTATTTTCAACAAGTTTCAATGGTTTAAAATTCAAAAGGTTAAAAGGTAACAAAAACAGTGAAAATTCTCTCTCTTATTCCATCCTCTAGTCACCTAGCACCCAGTAATGTCACCTGTTCCAAGTGTCCTTGCAGAGAAAGTAGATACAAACGAACAGTTATCTATAACCCCTTTTTGTATGACAAGCGTTAGCTCACTGCTGTACACACTGTTCTTGTGCTTGTCTTCACTCCCTGCATCTTGGAGATTGTTCCTTGGCAGTACACATGGGTGTCTGTATTCCTACTACAGTTATAGTAGACCCTGTTGATGGGAATTTACATGATTTCCAATCTGTTGCTGTCATAAGCACTGTTTCAATGGATAGCCTTGTGCCTTTGTCATTGTGCTGTGATTCCTACAAGTGGAATTCCTGGTATATGCACTTATAATTTTGATAGACATCAACAAACTGCCCTCCACAGAGGTTGTAGCAATACATATCCAGGGTAGCAAGTAGTCCCCACCACCCTTGACTCGACTCATTGCAAATCCTGGATGCTGGATGCCACCTGCTTTATCTTCATAAAGCCTGAGCAGTGTGACGGCCACATCATGTCAGCTCCTGAGAGGCCATGGAAGAAGATGGTGAATGATTCTCACCAATGTTTCCAGTGACCTTCATGTTGCTAAATCCAGAGGGCACTTTCAGTTCTGATCCTACTGACAAGCGGCAGCACTTGGCACAGCTGACCCTCCTCCTTCTTGCTTGATTTTCCTATTTCTCTAGATGATATTGATACTTTCTGTTTCCTTTGCAGCTTATTTTCCTCTTCCCAGCTGTTAAGTCAGTAGTTTGGCCACACAGTAGAACTACCTGGGAAGCTTTTAAAAATTCAGAGGCTCAGGTCACGCCCCAGACCAATTCAATCATAAATTCATAATTAAATTCATAATCTCTGTAGGTGGAACCCAGGCATCAGCATTTCTGAAGCTCTTTACATGACTACTTGCAACCAAAGTGGAGAACCACTTCATTAACGTGGACTTTATAGAGATTGATCCATTTCTATTATCTTACTATTATATCATCTCTTAACAATTGCATGCAAGCTCATGGCTTCAATTACCTTCCTTACACATTCATATCTCCATCCTAGATCTTTCCTCTGTGCGCCACACCTGAGTACAGAGCCAATTTAAAATCTCTTTCACAAACACCCCAAATTTAATGGTCCAAAACCAAACTCATGACCTTCACCCCTCAAACCTGGTACTTTCCCATTGTTTTCATTTTGATGAACGGCACCACCCTCTATCCAACTGTACAGCTCATAAGCAGAAGGGCCCTCCTTGATACTTCCTCTCCCCTCCTTAATCCACCCTATGTCCCAGCCATGTAGTAACTTCCTTGCTTGTCCACCTGCTTGTGCTCTGCACTCCCTTCAGTCTCTATACCATACTGCAGCTGGAGTGATTACTTCCAAAGCACATATGTGTATAGCATCCCTCCTCACCCTGCTTACAAACCATCCAAGCTTTCTCCCCTGACATTGGGATAAAGACACATCTGTTACCCTGGCCTCCAAGGCCTTCCATGGCTGGGCTTTTGCCTTTGTCTCCAGCCTCCACTCCTGCTACATTCCCCACCTGTGGGGTTACATCCTACTCTTCCTCCCACACATGGACCTTGCATATGCTCTTCCTGCTCTCAAAATACTTTTCCCTCCCCCTTAGCCTATTTGACTCTACTTTTATACATCTCATAGATGTCAGCTCAAGGGTTTCTTCCTAGGAGAAGCTTCCTACACCCTTGCAGACTGGGCCAAGCCAGATCTCCCTGAGAAACCCCCAGTAAACTGTATATCTTTCCTTTAAGGCAGTTTCACATTTATAATTTTACATTTTCTGAGTGAAGTAAGTCAGAAAGACAAAGACAAATACCGTATGCTAACACACATATATGGAATTTAAGAAAAAAAATGTCATGAAAAACCTAGGGGTAAGACAGGAATAAAGACGCAGATCTACTGGAGAACAGACTTGAGGATATGGGGAGGGGGAAGGGTGAGCTGTGAGAGGGCGAGAGCGAGTCATGGACATATACACACTAACAAACGTAAGGTAGATAGCTAGTGGGAAGCAGCCGCATGGCACAGGGATATTGGCTCGGTGCTTTGTGACAGCCTGGAGGGGTGGGATAGGGAGGGAGGGTGGGAGGGAGGGAGACGCAAGAGGGAAGACATATGGGAACATATGTATATGTATAACTGATTCACTTTGTTATAAAGCAGAAACTAACACACCATTGTAAAGCAATTATACCCCAATAAAGATTTAAAAAAAAAATTATGTGGAAAATAAGCATGAAAGAATAGCTAGTCAGATATTACATCCTATAAACATCCTATAAAACTTCTTTTCTGAAAACAGTGTAGTGTCCACTCCTGAGTAGACAGAGAGACCAATTAAACAGAATAGAAAATTCAAAAAAAAAAATTTTACATTTTCTGTAAAAAATGTAAATCGATCCTTCGATTAATACCTCTGTCTGCCTTTGGACCAGAAGCCCTGTGAAAGCAGGGGTGGTGGTTCTTTTTCATTGTCATTGTATTCCTGGGGCGTAGTACAATGCCTGGAACCATGTAGTAGGTGCTAATATATGCTACAAAGTAAATGAACTGCAGGAATGATCACTTTTCATTTTATAATTGGGGAGACAGAGGCCTGGGGAGTCAAGAAATTTGCCTTCAGTTCAGAAGGAAGATTTCAGGAGCAGCCTCATCCATCTGACCCTGTCGGGGACTTTTTGCTTCTTACCATCTCCAGTCTGAGTCATTTGGCAACTCCTTCAGAATGAGAGAGTTATCAGTGAAAATCATTCCCGTTTAATAACTTCTAACAGCACTACATAAATACAGGAAAAAAATATAAAGAAATGTTTACAGTAACTGCATCTTATAAGGGAGATTTACAAGACTATTAAAAATTATTAGACTTCTTCTGCAACAGAGCAGCTTTCACAAATCGCACTGCACAGCTTCACATATACCCAGGCTCTGCAGAATGTTTATTTTCATGTTTTCAAAATACTGTATTTCTTCCACCCTTAAATTTTATCTCAGCAGGGTTGTTTTAAAGCACCAATTTCCCCAACTCTTCTGATCTTGTCATTCCGCTCCAAAATATGTTGCTTTGGAAACACTCTGGAGACCATATGGGCCTAAAACATGGCTGCGGGGACTGCACTGAATAATGCACAAGGCTTCTGAGGATTGCAGGGGTATAAGTGTGTGTGT